TAAGACCATCAGTCTGAAGACTGTTTTACAGGATGAACAGGAAAACGCAAACAAAACTGCTTCAGTTCATACTGCAAGCAGGTATGATTTGGATAGATTACAGGGACATGTACATTAAATGATGCGAGACATTCATTCACAGGAACCCAGCACTAGAGGACCAAGCCTGTGATCGCATCTATAGGGTGGGACAGTCCCGGGATGTTACAATCCACAGGTGAGGATGTAAATCTGCTTGTATTCAATAATAGACTGTTACACAGTTTTGGTGTGTTTCATACTGGCAGTAAAGGTTTTGGCATTCAGCATAGTTTCCTATTAAGGAAACATTAGCAATTGATAAAAATGAAACTCTCAGATAGATTGACTGCATAGTGTCAAATCAATCTCTCCACAGGTTTGTGTGTGACGGTACAGTGGAAGACAAGATCTCTTCACTACAGGAGAAGAAGAAGGAGCTGGCTCAGAAAGTCTTGTCTGGAACTGGATCATCATTCACTAAACTGTCTCTGGCAGATCTCAGGGTCATCTTTGGTGTGTGATGTGCATTTTGTTTCAGAAAGTAAATATTGATCTACAGTCTCAAAATTATGTTATCTACTTTTGTTGTCTTGTACCCTGTATCCTATTTTCTGGAAAATGTCATGAAAGTAAAGACTTTATATTCAAATGCTGCATGTTTATACTGAATAAACTTAAAGGATGTCACTGGGTAATTGTTTCCTGTCATACAATATTCTTACTGTTTTAATAGCTTTTAAGTTATTTAAAGGGCATTTAAATATAAATTACATTTCACAATGCATATTTAAACCTTATGTTACTTGCATGTGAATGACATATCAGGTTGATATTTGCACTGGCCTACTTTTATTCTGAAAGGTAATAAATCTAATAAAATGCACATTCCACATATAAAGGACAATCGTGGTTTCTTATAGGAAAAAAAGGGACAGAATAAGAGACGCTCAAAATATTTGTACTGTACCACATAGGCCAAGTGAATGTCATTTTAGTGTCTGCAGTTAAGTATGTGTATATACAGTATGTTCTCGGACATAAACACATTTGTTATGCTTAACCTATTTACGTAGGCTACATTTTAATTCTAAAAATTATTTTTAATGTCACTACAAAAAAAAGTCACACACCATTGGCCTTAGTAAATTGTACCACTATAGAATTGTGACTGCACCAATGGTAAGTGTATATTGTATGACCCGAAATGATCTCCCCATGAAACCAAAATTCAGGAACTCTCACAAAACAGATGCCATGCAACAAAACAATAAAACTCACTAATCTGGGGAAAAGATCTCAAAAAATAACAAATGACACCACCTTGCCCAAACTTTTCTCCTTGCTCATTTATAATCCTCCTCTCCCCTTTCACTCTTCTCCCCCACCAAGCTTCACTGTAAGTTCAATTCAAGTTTATTTGTATAGCGCTTTTTACGATACAAATCACTGCAAAGCAACTTTACAGAAAATTACGTTTCTACAATATATTTAGTAGTAGCTTATCAGTGGTGACTGTCAGTTAATGTACATATGGCAGAAATGTACGGAAAAATCAATTAAAGATGTAATCAAACAGACAATGAACACTATTAACAGCAATTATTATATGATGCAATCAAACCTATAGCAAAATGTGGTAGTTCTGTAAGTTGTTTCAGGGTTGGCATCATCTGAGGTCCTCTGAGGGGTTGGCATCATCTCATCTCAGGTGTTCTGGATCCAGACTGAAGCTCGTGTAAATCCTAGTTACCACGGGATGTCAATCAGAGAAACAAATAGAGACACAATTAGCATAGATGCTGTTCCAACAAATCAAAATTGATTTGTTTAACCCAAGCTAAAGAATGATAATGTGCATTTGATCAGATATAACTGCAGTACAAGATTATGAGATGCATTCTTTGAATGCTTGGCCAAAGAGATGTGTCTTTAATCTAGATTTAAACAGAGAGAGTGTGTCTGAAGTTCACTAAGAATGTCTATATATACCACATATATTTTATATTGGGAATCTATTGTTTTCCCCCTTCATGTTTAGTGTTTTGAAGGTCTCTGTGCGATTAGTAAAATTGTCTCAATATTACAGCGGTCATTTATATTATGAGAAAAATTGAAAACTTTGAAGAATTCTGTTCTGCTGCTGAGGGGTGTGTCTTCCTCATGGTCTGTGAGAATGATTTCCCTTTTCCGGCCAGGTGTGACCCTTCCACACTCGCGAAAGCACTAATCAATATCCTCTGCTCTACAATGCTGTGTCTAATGTATCTGCAGTATATGAGCATCTATTGTTAAATTTATTATCAAATTTTACTTTGATTTCTTTTTTTCTCAGAAATGTGAGATATAAACCTGCAATTGTGAGTTATAAAGTCAGAAATGTGTATTTATTTATTTGATTGGTATCTGCCGAAAAATAAATACATTTATAAAATCATGTATGACTGCAAAAGTCTTGGTAATTTGTTAAAGGTAGGGTGGGCGATTTTGGAGAGGTTAGCAATAGCAAGCTAGCTTTGAAAGCATAAGATCCCGTGCACCCTCCCTGCAAATCAATCTCCAAAGTAGCCTCCTCCAAAACACATGAATGCACACAGGCAGACCAGATCGAGGCTGACCAGCGATATGATGAGAGACAGCGTTGGTGGAGGGTTGAATGCAATGCTGTCAGATCACCGCATGTCTCATTCACCGGTGAGAAAACATTTCAGTACAAGCACATAATATTGCAATAATAACGCCTTCCGTTCTTGCTAGGTTCAGGCAGGTAGCACATCCTATCTTATCCCTCAGACCAAGGAATATGATTGGACAAACATTTTATGGACCTACGCCTTCCACAGACGATATAAGTACATTTAGACCACTTAATTTAGTGATAGCTATACTGAATGTGAAGAGACAACCAGCATAACAAAAATGTTTTTGAACCATCACCTACCCTGCCTTTAAGGTTGTAATTCACTACACTAGTGATCATACACTTGCAAACTTTATGAATGGTTACAGACAAAAGCAGAGCATCACACAATATACAATAAACGACTGAGGATCACACTACCAGGCTGTGCTCGTCATCATACACTACATGATTTTCTGTGAAATCTATCAACTCTTGACTCAAAATCTGCAGAATGGCTCTGATTTTCGGCAACTACCGTTGACTCATCCAGACTGCAAATTGTAGCAAAAATCATAGTGTATTTCAGCCTTAAGCCTGAATATTGCACAATCGACAAAGGCTCAGACAATTTGACTTCAACCATATTATTTTGCAGTTACTTATGAAATTATCAACACTTTGTTGTTGTTGTTATTCCTTTAATCATAAAAGCACAATTTCACTTGCATTTGTTGCATGTTCATTTTGGATTCCGGTTGGCAGTGTGATTGTGTCTCAGTGGACCAGCATGCTGCAAATTGTTGTTGTTCACTTGGCGAAAATCGGACCTCCTTTAGGTCAACAACAGCCAGTTCTGCCCATAGAGAGCATCTACAAGCAGGCACCAGAGAGTGACCAGGGCTCAATCTAATCTCCAGCAATTCTGCTATTATCTGCTCTATCCGTTCAAAGTCTAATGTCAAGCCAGTCTGCATGGAGAGGATCTTGAGACTCCAGTAGCTTCAAACACCTGTTTGCTGCTCAGCAGTGGCTTTTTTTACAGCTGTCATTACAATACAGTTCATTTGTTTGACAGAAACCTTCCTTAATAAATCTTTATCTGACCAAGATCTTCTGTGCTCTAAACCTAGTGTAACGGGTATAACTATTAAGAGAGAATATTATTGTTGTTGCTATTTCATAGTTAATATGTCGTTAGGTCCTGTACTCTGTTATGATGCAGTACCGAAAGACTCCAGCAGAGGGTGGGCGAGCATAGAGAGTTAATAACAGGCACACAACCATTGAACAGTTGATGCAAGTAAGTGACTTTTTGAAAATATCAGGAGTTGACAGGGAAAAGATTGCTGATAAAAGCAAAAATTCTCTTGTTTCATACATCAATCAGCATGTCGACCGTGACAACATTACTGAACTCGAAGATGAAGGGATGGCGGAATTGTTGAGCTTATTGGACATTATCAAAGGCTTTCCTATATTTCTTGCAAACACCAAAGAGAAAGAGGTTAAAGTAGATGACGAAGCCAAAGACAAATTAATGAGAGAATTAGAGAGTTTAAGACTGGCAGTCCAACAGAAAGAAACTGAAATGCGGAAACTGATAACAAGGGAAATGAATAGCAGAGGTGACAGTGAATTGTTACCGAGATATCTACCAACAACCCGGGTAAATAGCCCCACATGGCGGAAAGACTATAAAATATCAGGTCAGATTGGTGAACCGGGCCAAAAAGACCGACTCACATTTTCCAGTGTAGCGCGCCAAATCGAGAATGGCCTTAGCAGAGGGTATTCCGAGACAGAAATAGTGGATGCGGTTATCAGGGCCATTGTTCCAGGTCTGCAACTGCGGAGCTACCTTGAAGGTAAAAGTGGTCTATCTCTGCCTACACTTAGGAGGATTCTCCGCTCGCACTATCAGGAACGGAGTGCAACAGAGCTTTATAAACAACTCACCACAGAGGTTCAGAACAATAAGGAAACCCCACAGAACTTTTTAATTAGAGTGATGGACCTCAGGAAAAAATATTGTTTGCATCACAAGAGGCAGAGTCAAATCTGAAGTATGATCCTGTACTTGTGCAGAGCATGTTTATGCACACTATACTTACAGGTCTGCAGAATGAAAAATCAAAAGTGACCTCCAACCCTACCTGCAGCAACCTACCACCTGACAACATAAATGTGTCTCTACATAAAGAAATATAAATCTGACCTTCAGTTCCTGTGCTACAAAGTATGCAAATTCAATGAGTTTACATCACTGAAAGCAAAAGATATGTTCAGCGTTTTATTTATCATTAGCTGAATAGTAGCGTTTACCACTTTTAATGAAGATGACTGTTTTTTGAACATGACGATGCCGCAGAATGAAGATGCAGTGAGTTTCATTTGCGGCAGTTTGCATATGCTTGCTGAGGAAAGATGCTCATGGTGGGCCATATCTGTGGAGACTGCATTTGTAACGGGTATAACTATTAAGAGAGAATATTATTGTTGTTGCTATTTCATAGTTAATATGTCGTTAGGTCCTGTAGTCTGTTATGATGCAGTACCGAAAGACTCCAGCAGAGGGTGGGGCGAGCATAGAGAGTTAATAACAGGCACACGGGTTCCCTTCCCCCACTCATAATACAGAAGTTGAGGGAAACGCAACAAGTGTTCGTGTCTGTCTGTTGAAAATATCTGTATCCCCCTTTTTCAGGGAGACTACAACGACAGAGCGATAGCAGCGATAGTCCGTGTGGCTGGCAGCTGCCTGCTGTGTTGCGTTTGTCTGTGATGACAGATGAGCTGATAAAGGAACACAGAGCCACTCCATTCAGTCCACACTATTGTGTTTTTTTGAGACTTTAGTCTTTGCAACTTTAAAGATCTTTTTTATGCACCAAGAGCTTGTAACACTCCAAAGAGAAAGGAAAAATTTAAATCGCATCATGTGACCCCTTTAAAGGGGTGTTGCAAAGATATACATATTACATACACATTTTCATTGTTTTGTTTTTCACCTATACATGGACCGAATCCTTGTGAAGCACCTGCATAAGGAAGACCATTGTTATTTAGATGGAATCCACAATGTTTAAACTTATCAATTTTAAAAATACCTAAATCAACAAAACAAAAACAAGAAAAAAAACAAAAAAACATGCCCTACCACATGCACAACAAATTAGCACATACTGACCACGTACAATACATATAACTGTGGCTTTCTATATGAGTAAGATGCTTGCATCTCAGATGGTATCAACATATTTGCACCACAAGTTAGGGGGGTGGCAGTTCCTGTCTGTCCGTGAGAAAGTCTGCTCACCTGCTTAATGTTCATTTTATCAACATATTTGCACCACAAGTTAGGGGGGTGGCAGTTCCTGTCTGTCCGTGAGAAAGTCTGCTCACCTGCTTAATGTTCATTTTACTAGTGCCAAACATTTAATATCTACAAGATAATGGTAATGTTGAAAAACAAAATAAATTGTGAAATGTACAAGGATTAAAATAATGCTGGTATTGACATGTGCTTTTTTCTTTCCCACACCAAGACAATCAGCTTTCATTATAGCAAGGGGAGGAGACAGGAGAGCCGGAAGCTGCTACTTTTGGAGTATGTTTTAACTACTGTACGAACCTGTAATGTACTACTTCAGATTTGTCTGAGCTGCAAGGATCTGCCAACATGGTGCATCCAGAACATCCAATCTTTGAATCCACCTTGCTGAATAAGCTGACTTCTGGCAGTGCATTTGCAATTGCTTTTATATTTCTTGTTTTTCAGTACACTTTCAAACTGGACTTTCAGTGCCCATGTAATGATTTTTACCAGTGGTTCTGCGGACTATATATTGGTCTTCCATTTATCGGACTTTTTTTAATACTGACCTTAACCGCTAAAACATTTACAATTATTTCTGCACTGTGGTGTTCTTGTATACGTGCGTTATGGTCCCATGAAGACCGCACACTTGGGAACATTCTCCATGTATCCTGCTCCTGTTCAGCCTGCTCTCGTGCACGTTTCTATCAGGCATGCAGAAGATTTTCCTGTAAAAATTTTATGAGAAACCTGTTTCTTTCTGCGTTATGGATCATAACAGTTTTGATTGATGGTGACGCTGTGGTGTGCTGGAATCTGACAGAAGAAAACATCACACGAACAAACGATCAAATTCCTTGTAAAGAGAGCAACAAACTTACTGCTGAAGAATCTGACAAGATTAAATATTATCAGGCTCTATCACAGGTATGTTATTAACCATCCAATAATATGAATATTGATCAAATCATTAATATAAAAATATATGCTGAATAATGAAACAATAAAACATTTAATCTTTGTAACTTTCTATACTGAAGCTTTTTCGTTGTATGATGTTGAGATGACGTATTCCAATACAACAGAGAATACCATTACATACAATTTTTGTAAGCTATTCATATTTATATTAAATATGTTATGGATGTGATCCTTCACTCCAGACTAGCATAATTGAAAATAATATAAAAAATGGACAAAGAAGGCTATTGGCAATCCGCTTTTAAATGTAATTGCATATAGGGAAGTCTGCGGTTGTCACACTTTTTAAATTTCTGAGGTGGGTATATTTTTCTTTATAGGCAGCTGAACATATTTGCTGGGGAGAAAGAAATAGATAATATAACACTCAACACCATTTGTGGCAGCATGCAGGGTGTGAATAGACTGCTAAAATCAGGGACTGAAAACGTGGTCTATTTTAGATATTAGACATACTGTATAGTGACCTGGTTAAGTTATCCCCGTTAAATTATGCACTGAGTATGTTTCTAGTCCTGTTACATTTGCCTGCAATATAAATTATTTTAATTAGACCTGCAGTCAATGTAATAAAATCTGTACTGATTGATCCATATTGTATTTTATCTAATATTCATTTGTGGTACTGTTGAAACAATAAAGAAGGTTATTTATTACTACTACTGCTAAGTAATGTTTCTTGCAGCGGTACATATAGTCATTATTGCCATCCAATAGCCAAACAAATGTATAGAAAAAATTACAGAGTAAAACAAATTATAAACCACAAAACAATTCATGAAATATAAAAATGTAAAAGGCAGCATTTAAAATATTTAGCCATTGTTCTGGCCAACAGAATCATAATCATTAATCAATTATATGAAATTACATCTTTAAAAAACACGACAGTCTACATAAAAACCTGCTCCATTATGGACACAATTCACCCTTTCAGTTAAAATCTGCTATCCTTTTATATCTTACATCAGTGTTTCTGAGGGTGGATTAATTATGTTTGATGGTATACCTAACAGGAATAGCAAAAATATGAGGAAGGATAATTTAAAAAGTTTTTGAACCTGGTGTTTGAGACCAACATACATTTGTGTATTTTGACTTTTGACCAAAAATCTTCAAATTATGTTGGAGGAATAACTTCCCCATGTGCCCATGTGACATAGCCGTGGTTGTCCCTTTACAAAACTATCCATGAAAGGTTCATTCTAAAACGTTGTAATAATAAAACTCTGTAATAACTATGCATATTTATGCAGGCTCATTGTTTTGTTCATAGGCGTTCGGGTTGGGATTCCTTTTTGCTCTACCATTATTGTGGCTGTTGGTTTCTACATGTTGTCAGTTTTGCACAACATCCTATTACAAGTCTCTATTTGAAGACATATATGAAGAGGAGACAATAAGATATGCGGAGGAGGAAATGCGAGAGAGAGTGAAAACAAGTTCTAAAGAAAAATGTATTAATGTTTTAAATGTACGCAGAACTGATGGTTTACTGGACTGGACATACTTGTCTAACCAAATGATTGACTTAATCATGTCAAGAAACTCTGAATCAATGAATGAACCACCCCAGAACTCGGCAAGCCCTTCTCTGCCACCCCAGAACCTTCCTCAGCAAGACCAGAACCCTTCTCTGCCACCCCAGAACCTTCCTCAGCAAGACCAGAACCCTTCTCTGCCACCCCAGAACCTTCCTCAGCAAGACCAGAACCCTTCTCTGCCACCCCAGAACCTTCCTCAGCAAAACCAGAACCCTTCTCTGCCACCCCAGGAGCTTCTTTAGCAAGACCAGTACCCTCCTCTGCCAGCCCAGAACATTCCTCAGCAAGACCAAAGCCCTTCTCTGCCACCCCAGAACCTTCCTCAGCAAGACCAAAGCCCTTCTCTGCCACCCCAGAACCTTCCTCAGCAAGACCAGAACCCTTCTCTGCCACCCCAGAACCTTCCTCAGCAAGACCAGAACCCTTCTCTGCCACCCCAGAACCTTCCTCAGCAAGACCAGAACCCTTCTCTGCCACCCCAGGAGCTTCTTTAGCAAGACCAGTACCCTCCTCTGCTAGCCCAGAACCTTCCTCAGCTAGACCAAAACCCCCATCTGCCACCCAGAACCTTCCTCAGCAAGACCAGAACCCTCCTATGCCACTCCAAAAGCTTCCTCAGCAAGACCAGAACCCTCCTCTACCAGCCCAGAACCATCCTCAGTGAAACCAGAACCCTACTCAGCATTTATTAATTTAACAGAGTTACAAATGAGGAATACAATAACCGTCATCTTAAAGGCAATAAACATGAAAAGTGCTAGTAATACAACGTTTCAGACATTGTTCAGAATAGTACAAACTAAAACATAGAGGAAAGTGAAAACATTAAGGAAAAGTGAAAGAACATAGGAAGATTTTTTTTTCTTTATGCAGTTTAGTGCTCATGGAAGAGATGAGTTTGAATACTGTCAGCTATTCGGCATTCTGGATAGAATTGGAAAGATCATTCCACCAGTAAGGAACATTGAATGAGAACATTCTGGAAAGTGATTTTGTGCCTCTTTGTGATGGTAATACGAGGCACATGGCTGTTCTGTATGCAAGCATCAATGTCATGAACTTTATGCAAGCCGTAACTGGAAGCCAGTGTAAAGAGATAAAGAGATGTGTGACGTGGGCTCACTTGGACTCTCAGGTGTAGTGCTGCATTCTGAATAATTTGTAGTGGTTTAATTGTGCATGATGAAAGTCCAGCCAGAAGAGCATTGCAATAGTCCAGCCTAGGGCCTGGACAAGAAGTTGTGCAGCATGCTCCATTAGAAAAACTAATCTTCCTGATATTGTGGAGTGCACACCTGCATGATGGAGCAGTCTTTGCAATGTGGTATTTGAAGGTCAGCTGATCATCAAATATTAACCCAAGATTTCTGACTAAACTCAATGGGATTATTGTTGATGAACCTAGCTGGATGGCCAAATTATGCCGTACAGTTGGAGTGGCAGGAAAGACAAGAAGCTCTGTCTTTGCTAGGTTAAGCTGCAGGTGATGTTCTTTTATCCATTCTGAGATGTCTCCCAGACAATCTGAGATCTGTGCAACAACCACAAAACCAGAACCCTTATCTGCCACTCCAGAACCCCCCTCAGTCACCAAGAAGTGAGAGAGGGTGGTATAACACAAGTGTGAATTTAGCTTAAATACAATTTATGATATCATTGTTGTGTGTTACATATATAAATAATTTTTGGAGTTACATATATTTTGGATTTTGGTTCTTTTCCGGAGTAAAGAGGATCTGTACTTGCATGGCTAGAAAACTCAGGTATAGCCTGCCAACATGTCTGTGAGCTACCTGCATAATGCATCTTTACATCAGTGCAATTGTAACAGCTAGCTGAATCAACTTTTTATTTTTCATATATAATCAATAGTCTATGAGGGTTGAAGGTAAATCGTTGTAGTATTTCTAGAAATTTAGTGTCTATAATGCAGTGAAGCAAAACAAAAGAGGTGGAATGTTGAGATATTTTTTTATTTTATTTTAAACCATCTAAAATCACAATTCTTAGATTATAGTTTATCTGTACAATCTAGGAATTATTGCTTAAACATGCATTGAGGAGAATATGTTAATGCACTCTTGATGACCACTCATTTGCCGTCAGGTTGATGGTCTTTTTGTTTTCTTTCAGTTGGTTTTGGTTTTTACATTCCACTTATGTTTAATAATGATTTGCTCAGGGTTTAAGAGGAAAGGTTATTGTTGATTACAGAAAAAGACTTTCACTTTGCCACTCCAGTGTTCTGATGAAAAAAGCTACCTACCTACCTCAGATTATGCTACCAACATTTGCATTGTTTTAAGGCTAGTGTTTGGGGTAGGTTTAGATATTATTAAAGCCTAATAAATGTGCTACCTATTATTTTAATTGTAGGTAGTACAAAACAATGGCACACGGCCCCTTTTGCACAGCAGTGCATTAACTGTTACAGCTAAGTTTGTCTATACAGTACATTGTTCCATTCTACTGTCATATATTTAAGAATGCAACTTAAATAAATTTGCTTGCTTTAAAGGCTTTGAGAATCTTTCCTTTCACTGATAAGGTTGAAAGCTAAAAGTGTTTGACCTTAAAAGTGTGATCTAAACATTTAGGTTAGATCATACATTTTCCGTCCAGTTCTAAGAAAGTCTTTTGCCTTTGAACAACAAGAGTTTAAATAAATTTAATGGAGTCAGATTAATTATATTTTAAATAACTGAATTATGCGTCATCCTTCAACTGTCTTTTGTTCCGATTATAGGTTCAAAGTAGCAGCACAAACATCTGGCTTAACACACTGAATTTAAATTTCTTTATTTCTAATTGCTTTATAAATCAATACACGTTTATTTCCATAATATAAACCTCAATCATTCAATCTGTCCTAGGTAGACATAGGGCACATACACAATAAGTTTATGGATGGCTGCTGGATGAAAATGTAAATAAATCTTCTTGATTCTGCCATACTGGTAATGTAACATCACAGCTTCATGCAGTATTTATATCTTCTAAGATGGGTATAAAATCCGATCTGCCTAAGAATCTAGAGAAGAATCTTGGTCAGAAGCTTGCAAACGAGTCTTGCAAGAGGGGAAAACTTCTGTAATTTCTCTCTTTTATTTTTTTACATGAGTCTTAGTCAAATTTTCTACAAATTACATTAAATGAATAGTTCTTGTTTTATACTTGTTTTGGTTTATCTTTAGACTCTTATCGCCTCGCAGAACAAATGAATGTCCAATGCATTGCTCCTAGTGTCATCCACATGCACTACAAATGAAGTTTAAAAATGCACTGCATCATGAAATGTTTTGTTTAGTATAAACATGCAGCATTGAAACCAGAAACATGCAGTCTTTGCTTTCATGACATTTTTAAAGAACTACAATACAGGGTGCACTACAACAGCAAAAGCAGATAAAATTACACTTGAGACTAATTTCATATTTATTTTCTAGAATAAAACGGACATCACACACCAACGATGACCATGAGATCTGCCAGAGACAGTTTTGTACAAGACAGTTCCTGATAAAACTAATTACAAGATTTTCCAAAGGTTGCCAGGCAGATTAGTGGCGTCAAATATTTGAAATATATTCAGAGTTTTGTTTGAGACAATTTTATGTTGCACAGATACCAATTTTGCGTGATTTAAGTCTGTGAAATAATCAGGCTTGATTATTACTATATATATTTGATCTATATACAAAGATAAAAAATACTCTAATACTCTAATACAGTCTAATTATTATTATTTTTTTTATTGTTCTATTATTGTGCTATAATAACCTGCCCAAAAACCAAACTGTGGTTGGTGATAGTACATGCTGCAGCAATATTATTAACTATTAGCTAAATAGTCTGGCTTTATGACACTGTTTTGCAGATTTCAGATTTAATGTTTGCTTGCATTACCAAAAAAAAAAAAAAAAAAAAAATTAACCTCCACAGGAACAAAGTCTTCATAACATTGCGGATTATATTTCATGTTATGCACAACCTGTCAAAACAGGGGAAAGGCCTTTTTACTTGCTCAGAATAAGCTTTAATATCTCATGTCAGTTGTTCATACAATTTACAGTAAGACACTCAAATTACTGTTCCATAAGGCAACATTTGATTATCGGATGTAGTATTTTTTTTTGCAATAACAAAAAAAAAAAAAAAAAAAAAACTATACCGACTAGATGTGTAATTTCAAGAGTCTATTAATGAATATTGTAACATCCCGGGACTGTCCCACCCTATAAATACGATCACAGGCCTGGTCCTCTAGTGCTGGGTTCCTCAAGTTCATATACTGTATATGTCAGTCGAGTCTCTTCAGAACATATCAGCTTGCAATATGTACTGAAGCAGTTGTATTTGCATTTTGTAAATTACACTCTAAAAAATGCTGGGTTGATCCAGTCTTTAATCCAATCCAATTTTGGGTTGAAAATTGGTCTTGATCAATAACTCAGCGGTGCTGGGTTGGAATGTCCTTTCGCCCAAACTGATGCAACAGTGGTTTTAAAGGAGGAGGCTGCCCTGGATAATGTAAAAGATGTCACATGCCTTTGCTGTGCTGATGGGGCTTCTTCATGACTACATCAAATATGCTAAAGAGATCATGGAAATTGGCAGCGATGCCTGATCTGTATTCATGGACTATGAAACAAACTAAGTGTATAATTTGTAAAAAAGAAAATGTTAAATGCTTGTTCTGTGTTGTTGTTTAGTAGAAATGGAGTTTACACTCTGTCATTCATACACATGCTCACATTCTTTCACACATATGTTTATGATAAATGTTATAATATCACTGTTAATGTTGTGGTTTATTTACCGTCATGCCAGAATAGGTTGTAAAGAACTTATATATTAACTAATTGTACAACTATTGTATAATAATTTTATACAATATATAAAATTGACCAAAAAAGTCGAATTTGATCTTAAAAGTTATATCAAACAAATGTTCAATGCTTCATTTATAAACTATGTAGCTGTTAATGTAATATCAGTGTTAATGTTGTGGTTTATTTACTGTCATGCCAGAATAGTTTGTAAAGAACTTAACTATTAACTAAACTATTGTATAATAGTGTTTTTGTATATTTTTATACAATATATAAACTTTACCAAAAAAGTCCAATTTGATCTTAAAAGTTATATTCAACAAATGTTCACTGCTTCATTTATAAACTCTGTAGCTGTTAATGCTATACTTTTCTGCATTTCTTCTTACATGCATGTTACTTTTGTTGTTGGGTTAAAATAACCCAGTGCTGGGTTCGTCCCTTTTTGACCCAGCGCTGGGTTGACACAATGAAGAGATATATAATATTTTTGTTATACTATGGGATATCTACAACAGTAAAATAACCAAAACCCCAGAAGACATTGAGCAAATAAATATAACAAACAGGGTAAAAATGACAAACTATTTCCATGTCTTCAACCTTTTTTTTGTACGGAAATCACGCTTTCTTTCTCTGTTCACTCTCACACACGCACACACATAGACACGCACTCGCGCACACACGCAGAGACGTGGACAGAAACTGCCCGAATTTATCAATAAAAGTTTCGCAGCTGAAAAGGTACATGACATTTCTCAGTAGCGAGGTTCTTGAAGCAGTTAAACTTAAAGATTCGCTATTAGTAGACTGCTGCTGAACACTGCTGAGA